CGCTTGCACGCGTATAATCAGGCGCGGATTAAATCGGTACCAAAGAAAGAGCGAAAGTCATTATCCGTTGATATGAAATCTGATGTGGGTTAGTAAATTGAAACAGAGACGCGGAATTGCAGAAAGAATATCAAAATAACAAGTTTTATACGTTTCTAATTATCATTTTATAGATGTAAAATAAAGGTGGTAGATATTGTTCGTAGTAAAAACGTTTCTAACGTCTAAGTTGGTTTTATCTCCACTCCTCAAATTCACCATCTAGTCTACGGTGACGAATGATAGTGTAATATGAAATCGCAAGAATTCAGAAAATAACCCGTTACTAATCACCCATTATCACGTTGAGTTTTAATTCCTTTCGACGACTTAGCTTCAAGTCTGCAGACGTCTGCATGCGGATACACGTGCGCAACGTCTATCAAGAAGCATCTCTTGGCTTTCTCGACTATGCGCCAAAAGTGCATGCGCATATCTTAACAAATCGCTCGACGTCGCGAGAGGGACGACTATTTACTATCTATCTATGTAATTAGCAATGGATATTTTCTCATTGGAGATTTCACCGATTTAAACAAAGAATATAAGATCATCGAGTTAAAAATTATTACAAATTTAATTCTCAATTAATCTGGGATATATATTTTTTAACTAGCAAATTAATATTGCTTTGAGATTACTGACAGATCTCTCGTGTCAAATAGAGAATATACGATTTCGGCGAGGCAGAAATCGTACGTGTCTCTCCTCCTCTTTGTATCCGCTTTATGAGTACGCTTGCTCGAGCGAGCGCGAACGCACGTATGCGCGAGCGTACGAGTATCTCGGCTGGCTGGTCGCCGGTTTCTCCCGCGCTAATTAGCAAAAGTTTGCTGTGCAATAAACGCGTCTAGCTTTACGTAACCCGACTGGACACTCGCGCGGATACGATGTGCACAATGCCGCTCGTTAATAGCCGCGTCCAATCTGTGTCCTGCCATCAAAATTGCTGAAATAATCTCACCAAACTTTCCTCAGCTTTCCTTATCCACGAATGGATCTTTCGTGAAATCTCGGTATGATGCTTATATATATATATATATATATATAAAAGATGAAATTTGAGTTTTGGTGTTGAATCAAATATAATATTCAAAAGATTATTTTTATAATTAATCAAAATCTTTTAAATCGTATATTTTATATACGATATTTTTTTTGCACGTTGCGTTCAGCGAATGATATTGAGAACGCGTGCGGTGATCGTATCCGCGAACATCGAATAGAGCCCAGCCTCTCTCTTCCTGAATCGGCTCGCTATGGTGCCGTGGCCAAGAGCGCGCTTGTTTTCCGGAAAATTTCCTCGTACGTTCACCAGCCATTTCTGCTCGGACAACTCCGCATCGCTCACGCATTCAATGTCTCAATCAGTGGCGCTCTCCAATGAGACCAATTCTTTCAATAAATTTCTTTTCCACGTTTGCGTTTGAAGTATTAAAGAACAAAGATTCCGGATTAAGAAGATTAAATCTGTGAGAAAAAGCTAGTAAGAAGAGCTAGCGAATATATTTATTAATGTTTTGAGGATTTTGCCCGACAATAATCATTGAATCAATATTTGATCACTTACATTTTATTATTATGCATATTTTCAGTGAAAGAATAATAGTAGAAAGATATTGAAGGTAGTTATTCAAAAATACATCTTTCTTGCATTTATATTTTTGTTTGTGGTATTTCTAAATTTTATACTTTTACTTAGGTAATAAAATATAATAATTTTGGAAAACTTTATTTATATTATTGTAATTTATACAGATTTTATATAAAATCAAACATTTATGCTTCACAAGACAATTAGAAAATTTCATGGCAATATCTTAAGCAAATTTTTTTTATCATTAAAAAAGTAAAAAAAAAATACATCGATAAACATTATTTTCGAATAATTTCGGAATCAATTGAATCAATTTATCTTAATAGTAGACAATTAGAATGACTAAAATAGGCAAAGAATGACGAAACTTTTACTCGCTGTTCCTCCTTTCCATTTTTAGACAGATTGTGGTCATGAAACTATATCACTATCATCAGTATGAATTAATTATAAACTATCTCCAACTTGCCGTTCCAGTTATAATACTCGAACAATAGCAAATAGTCGTTAAATTGATAGCGAAATAAATCAAAATCACAAAAAAAAAGAAACTTTGTATCTATTTTTACCCAACGCTGATTATTACGTAAGATAGTCGCTCTCATGTTAATCCTGTTATTTCAATCAGGCTTAACTGAGCTTGACTTTTGATGAAAAAATGCATGAATGCTCTGTGCGTCTGTTATAAAGAAACTCGAGCCATTGTCGAGCCACTGCTACATTCCATCGCCATGAAAATCATAAAACTCTGAGTAACCAAGCATTTCGACTCGTTTTATGTTGTCTTTCGTTTGCACTGGATGTCTAAATTTATACAAACAGAATTTGGCTGTAAAGAAAGTACAGAGATATGGAATCTAGCCTGACCTTCAAGATGACATGAGAAAGCATATGCCCTTACGTGACTATTCCTTTAACATCTGTGTTTCACTTGTGTTTAGAATATTAAATTTCTAACTGTTCTGCTAGCAGCTAGAATAAATAAAATTACTACATTGTTCAGCAAAATAATTTCTTTTTTTGAATGCCATATACGATCCTATTTACCAAATTGCTTTATCACGACACAATTTTGAGAAATTTGCAGTTAAAGTTGCAAAAAAGGCTTTTTTTTGTGTACTTTGACATGTTATATATCTACGATATGTGACATGTTGGAGAAGGTTTATTGCAATCAAAATTAAGCACGTTGTTAGGGCTTTCAACCCGTAAAAGAAATTTGTTGTATCCAATTATGGTTAAAAAGATATTAATGATTAACATAGTGTCTATTGCGTCAAAGTTGCGACTTACATCGCACATTAAAAATCTAGTTTGATAATTAATTAATAATAAAATAATTTAATTTAATTAAAAAATCTTTTTGAAATTTTTTTACGGTGCATTCATCGTTGTTAGGTAAAATAGTTTTCCTTTAAATATAAGAAACAACAATAAAAAGTATGTAATGCGTTAGAATTAAAAAATAGATTATGCCAATTTGTATTTGTCGATCTCTTACGTAGGAGGCACTTTCATCTCTACAGAGCCCCGTTATCTCGTGATATATATTTAAGTACTTTCTTGTGCTTCAGTGGTTGCACGAGAAGTCTGGTTGTTCCGTGGAGAGAAGAAACGCGATTCGAATATGAGGACAGGTAAGTGGTCTCTGACTAAGACAATCAATCTAGGAAAAGTCAGGTATCTCGGTTGAAAGATCTGATGGCTGTTTGGCAAAGCCAACAGAATCATCTTTATAAATAGCATATCGTGTGCAATACGCAAATACATATTAATCTTGTTTAAGTAGAAATATTTGTATTAGTTTCCTTTATTTTCGACATGTATATACGTTATTTTGATTTCTTTAATTTTAAGGAGTATAATAATACGTATAATAATAAAAAAAATTTTGTATTATATTTTTTATACTAAAATGTCTCACACAATCAACTTAAATTTTATTATTAGTATTTTTATAATAAATTTCATAATTGCAACAGAGAAATAAAATCTTTTAACAAATCATAATAAGCTACATCAGATTTAACTTAACAATCCCACTATGGAAAAAGGTCTGATATATTTATTCTAATGCATCTCTACCTGAAAATCAATTTTCGAATGAAACGCGACATAAATCACAAACGAGAGAATCGGAGAAGCGACTGATTTTCAAATATTTCCAAGCGTTCACGAGCGATATCAGTAATCGGCGTACGTGGTCACGGGCCATGTCAGCGTCTAACGGGGCAATCGTGCAGAAACGGTAGATAGTAGCGAGGAACAAGACGAATGAAGAGGAAGAAGAAGAGGACGATGTGAGGAAAGCGGAGGATGAGGACGCAGGGAGGAAATCGGGGGACTCAGAATCGGGCGGTGCATCGTTAATGCAGATTGCCCGATTGTGAGTTTCATTCGATGAATCATGTGCTTTCCGGAGTGCGTGTCTGCACGCATATCGAGACACGTATTGTCGAGGGTTTGAGAGTACCCGATGACTCATCGCGAAATTTTCTAATGCACGACTCCGCCGAAATAACGCCCTCTAAATATCGCATTAAGTAAAAAAGACTGCACGTCTCCGCATCTATATCTACTTTCTTATTAAGAGACGGTAGGCAAAAACATTATTAAAACAAATTTGGTAATTTAATTGTTTAAACCTTTGATAAACCTTGCAAATGTAGTACTTATAGGATTATTTATTTGAGTCATGTGTTACTAAATTGTCTGTGATTGTGTATTTTCCTCACGAATATCCAAATTTGGAGAATTCGATTCGATTACACTATGACAGAATACACGATAAGTATTCTGTCATAGGCGGAATTATTTCTGAATCGGGAAAATACCAATCGATCGTACGCGATATAAATATTCGTTCCGAGAAATTCTGGACGAACAAAGAGATTCATGAGAATAACGCGTCATAGGTTCATATCAGTTAGATCCGTAAGAGATACAATCAAAAAAATTGATAAAATATTTACAAAAAAATACTGCTTTCACATATTTTAAAAATAAACTTTTCGATGAAAAGCGTACATAAAAATTAAAAAAAATTCCGTCTCTTCCTGAAGGAATGTACAGAATGTACAGTATTTGCATGAAAAACATTGCTCAAGGTATAAAATTACTCGATATAACCAGCAGATTAAATACAAATTGTCCATTGTGGCATCTAATTGTAGGCAAATTGCTTCAAATATAATTAACATTCCAATAATTTTGTTTTACGGTTTATATGGATCTTTGACATACTTTTTATCATAACGTACATCCATCCATTTATTCATCATGGATAAAAGTGGAGTTAATTTTCAACAGTACTAAGCACTATAAGCACACATATGCCACATAAAACATCGTGCGGAGTACTCACTTATCTTTTCCATCTGAACCGCCCATTTTGCATCATCCGATCTTTGTTCCAGTTGAGCCATCGTCGCGATGACCGACCCTGCAATCGATAGGACGAATGTCGCCGTCAGAAAAATCGCCAGCAGAAATGGATACGCGTGTACGAGGCGACGCGGGTCGATGGCGGAAGCCCGAAACGATCGCGGGGGATTCTTCTCTCGGGCGCGCGATCGTTTCACCGTTACGTCGTACGTGAGCGCTTTGCACATTCCTGGACCGTGTCCAGAAACGATCTGAATTCCAAATAACAGCTACCATAATCGGAGATTCAAAGTGCCCGACGGCCGTTGGTCTAGAATTCCGAATCGAATTATAGGACCCGACTCGCGAGACCGGCGCGGCGCGGCGCGGCGCGGAGCTTCGGAGCTACGTGAGATCGAGAATCAGATCCACCCTTGGGTCTCGCTCCAGTTATCGGCCAATGGCAGACCAGATCCTTCCCTTAAATCTGGGCCAACTCTTTTCTAATGCCGAGACCAACCCCTTTCTTCGCGACAAGCGTGATCTTTTAACGTACGTGCCGACTGGTAATCCCAAAGGGATGTAGATACGTGAAAAATAAGTACCGAGGATCGTAACCTTTCGAGGACGGGTCGTTTATTTGCAGAAAGCAAATGTGATGCGCAGTGAACGAAAATAGACTCGGTATAATATGAATCCGTTCTGATAATATTATGAATCTCGTTCGTAAAATATCTCTATCGTTTGATAAGTTTCGACGATATTATCGAATGAGATACGACAAAACATTGTATAATATATCGTACGATATTTTCATATCTGTGTCTAGAGGATCTAACTTTCGTCTAATTGGAATATTTTTGTGTACAATGGTACGGAGCAAGAAAGGGGTAATTAATATTAAATTATTCTACATAAATTGCAATTTTACTAATAAAAAAATTATAATAATATTATATTATTAGCCGTATATTTTATATAAGTATGTATTATGGTATCATTTAAAAGCAATAAAATTCATAAAACTCAAAGAACAAAGTTTCAATATGCGTCGCACACATTATTATTTACATATTAACTTTGATAATATTGTCCATAAATTTTTCATAAATTATAATCCAATTACATATTAATCTTAATACTGCACTGGTTATCGATATTACTGTCAGTTTTATTTCATTTTAAACAAAAAAAAATTTATCATTATTATCGTAACCATTAATATATTTAGCACAACAGGGGATTATAATAGATTATCGATCTTAAACGATCAGAATTTCTTAAATTAATATTAGAAACGTGATGATCTAATCTCAAATCTTAAAGTATTAAAATGTAATGTTATATCTTTTAACTCCATCTCTTTTAACTGATTGTGAGGAAAAAATCTATTCCTGTTTCCGTAGTTTATTTTATGATATAACAATATTAAAAATATATTATTACATAGAAGAGCGATGCAAGTTTCACGTTATTGTACTAAGACTGTTGAGTAGATACGTAGAATAAGCCACTAATGAGACCACCAATGGGAGACTTGATTACTAGCAAAGTCGTCCACTTACGCTTGTTCCTGCATTTATCGTTCGAACAACGCATTAACAATACGATGGAGCTCTCGAGACGAGGAAACATTGCAAAGTTCGGCGATAATACTGCCTTGAGAAATTCCTTGAAAAATTTAGTATTCAACTGAATACCATTTTAATTGTCAGACAAACGCTTGTCAGACAATTTCTTTGATATTGGGAAAAATGCAATTTTATATTTACGAGGTATTTTCTTAATATCGAATAGTATTTTAGTATTTCTTGCATATTATAATTCAGACAATTTCTTTGATATTTGATATTTACGAGACATTTCTTCAATATCGTGAAATATTTCGGAAGTGAATATTTCAATAAGTTTCCAGTCCATGTTATTATCGCTCTGAAACTTTTTGCATATTATAATTTTACATTGTTATTCACACATTCATAAGCGCGCGTGTATATGTGCTGTAGAGATGCAAAAATATTACATGCGCTATCTCGTATTAACGAATTACATATATATACCTTTATATTTTATTAATACAAAATGCACATTTGATTTTGCTGCTACGAACTTTTCATTTTCTTTTGCCATCTGTGTGTCTTAAAACAAGAGAGTTCATAGACGAATGGATCGTATCGAGTAGCACCGTCATCCTTCGCATTATTATCATCGCTACGATAAGCGCAGTCAACCATTATTTACGCGGCAATTATACGACTGAAAGTCATTGTGTCTCTCTGCATGTAAAATAGTGCGTGCTGAATTCTAGATCATGACTTATGTATCCCGAGCTGACTGAGCGGGAATACTTTGAATCATCACGCACGCACGTTTGACAATTCAACATTTTCGCGAAGAAATTGTTTACAGAAATACGAATAATTCTGTTGCCATATCGCCATATGTGCCTCACGTTAAATCATTTCATACGGGCTTCATGAAATTTTACCCTAAAAATGATTTTGACGATCACTTTCACGAGATAATATCAAGAAAATTTCGGCAGTCTTAGTGTGGAATGGGAACCATCTTTTCAAATATTTCTTAGCTTGAAATTATCAGCCTTGGTATAATTACGGAAAAATTATGATTCATACATAGGAAATCATAGTGTTATATTTTCGAGTTATTATTAATCCGTCTTTATTATGTAACAATTTTCTCATGCTACTTTTATTTTTATAAATTTTGCTTTTGCAACGCGAAATATTTTTTTGCTCGCTATTCAAGAGCGCTGTGCCGACAGCAGTCTGCGAATTACCATAAATGACATCTGACCATTGATACTTTTGCCTTATCGGCCAGCGTGATAAAGAGACTTCGTGCTGCCTCGGCACCGATGAGCGCAACTTCATTAGCAAGTAAGGTCATCGAAGAAGCGCAATATGCAAAGGTGACCGTGTGTCAATCTTCTACGTAAAGTCGTCTCAAATCTTCCGCGAATACATTATTCATACCGGCAACTCATTGAAAATCGGTATTTTTAACACTTGCAAATAGAATAAACGATTTAAGGCACATAGAAGATTAATTCCCCTATTTCTTTTTTTTAAATACAATCCATATAATATAAATATCTATTAACACAGCAATTATTTAAAAGTCATAAAAAATGTAGGAATGAGTAATTATTTAATCTGTTTAATTTAAAAGTCAAAAGTAAATAAATGGAAATCTCTTGATTTAAAAAGATATATAAAAAGACATATACGTGTGGAACTACAATCGATTTCGTTTTGCAGTAGAAAAGCGTTACGTAATTTGTTAAATCCGAGAATCAACGAGGCTACATAATTAAAAATTATTTATTAAAACGTGAAATTGATAATTAATGTCATTCATCACAATCAGGAAAAGACATTTCTTCATTTCGCGAAGAACTTAAAACACGTGATGATGATATTGAAAGCGATATATGTATCATATTGATACGGAGCAATTGAAACCAGACGAAGGCTGGACCACTGACGGAGATCTTGGCATAGTAGGGACATCTCCGCTTTCATTGGTCGGCTAAACGAAGCCAATAGAGAGCAAGGACGTCACGCTTGCGCAGCCTCCCGCTGCGTCCGCTCTCTGGCTCTTTCATCTTACTGCGGAACAGAGATGACTTTGCCACAATTATTCAAGATAAGAAGAATTATTCGACCATATATTTTTTTAACACTTTGTCTCGAAAGAGATGAATATCCAACGATTCTAAAGTTGTGAGAATTACATTCTCAGAAAAGGAGAAAAAGAAAGCGTAGCAAGTTTTGATTTTAAATTTTTATAATCGAACAAAAACCTTGGTGACATGAAAGAATATAGTTTATCTCGAAAATAATAAAATGATTTTTGTCCCAAATCTTCAACTTTTTTAATTTTGTAGATATTCAAGTTTCTGAAAATATCAAACAGACGTGCATCACATACATATATGCACACGCAAACCCGCACACACACACACATATTGGAAAAATAATCAAGTCAAAAAAAATAAACGACAAAAAATATTTAAAATCGTTTTACTTATTAAAGAACTTGTATAAGAATATAAAAAAGCATGCATAGCTATTTTTTTATGGTGTCAATCTTACATAGAGTGACACATATTTTTTTGTAATTTAAAACTACTTCTTGAATCTCGACAAAGCGGAAATTTCACACCTTTTCTTCGCTCGCAACCCTATTATTATTATATCAAGACCCCATATACCTGCGCCTTGGTTCCGGCGGAAACTACAAAAACAAATCAAAGCGCGTCCTCCCATCGGACAGGCGGAAATTGTCTTTATTTTCTCCTTCTTTCTCTTAACGTTTCAACCGAACACACGTCCGGTTGATGAGAGACATTCGACCACGACTCACTTCTAAAGAGATGGACGGCTTTAACTGCACGACAAAACTCTCCCAGAAACTCTTCTCTTTCGCAACTTTGTTATATTTTCACCAGAAGTCATTACTTTAAATTAATTTAACAGCACAATTTTTACCAGAGTTTTAAAATCTAAACAAATACAAATATCTATGTTTATTACATCACAATATTCATCATTCATTTTTCACTAATTAAATTATAAATAATAAATCTTTTACTGTTATCTTTTACTAATATAATAATTAATACTTGATTGTAAAATGTGTAGATTTAAAAATAAGTCGATCGTCTATTTTTAAACTTGCATTTTTCATTTTTCAAAATATTTCCGTCGTAGATAATAGTCATGTGCATATATTGACCATTAAAAAGACGCTATTGAATCATCCTCGTGTCGTCTTTTGGTTACATAATTTTATTATTTTAACGTTCTGCAAAATTAAACGCATATCGGACACCTATAAGGGTACCGGCCGTGGTTCACCAATCTTGGACCGGTTTACCCTCGTGGCCAAGTGAATCGGGGTTACGGACGAGGGAAGGTCCAGCGTGTCAAAGGTCGTATACCTGCACGCTTCCACAGAATTGTGCGGATATCTCGTATGCGCCTACCTGTTACGAGGGTTACATGGAAAACCTGATTCCCTTGGGATCAGTTTGGTCCTCGCGAATTAAAGGGA